GCGGGGACCCCAACCCCAGGCGGCGAGCTGCTGGCGTCCACGCTGGCCACGCTCCAGGCCCTCTCGGACACTTGGGGGCCTCTTCCACGTCGGCTCGGCGCAGGGCTGGCCTCCGGTCCTGACTCGTTCGGTCTGTCCTGCTAGCTATCACCGGGTCAGAGATTTCACCAAGGGATCCTTTGAGAATTGCCAACTGTGCACTTAGCCCAAAAGCGTCAAGGCTCAAGTTGCAGAGATGTTTACTGAACCGAACCGCGTTAGAGCCTTCTTTCCTAGTAAGTTCTCCTAGTAAGTTCTCCTGGAGATGGATGAGCCATTCAGTTTTGGAACGGCTGAAAACTGCTTTACAAGAAGAGGAAGAGTGGGCAAAGCCCTGTGTTTTACTTGAACAAACTAGGCTGGAGGCAAGAAAAACTACTTTAGTAGGTAGGACGGTGACAATATATAAAGAACCATGTGACCCAGACAATTCCCAACGCTGAATCAACACCTTGTCAGGCCAGGGTAATGATAGAAAATTAGTTCGTGTAGCGTTGCTGAAAAGTAGTAGCAATTCTTATTACCACCCCACCCCCTTCATTTATGTTAGCACCTGAAAGCTTCTAGACCTGTCTGAAGAACGTTCTCAAAGCTGCCTTGAATGGAAACCTAGACCCTTGTGAGATCTGCAGGAAGATACATCAGAGGCTTCAGTTCTTAGGGAATTTTAGTGCAGGAGAGGAAGTTACCATCAACATACCTCAATGGCCAAAGAGCTGAGCACTAAAAAGTGGCCCAAACCAAAACCAACACTCTCAGGAAAGTGACCACAGTGGCAACCAGTGACCTCAACCAGAAAATTCATGTGTGGGTTCTTCAGTTAGCTTTGGGTTACTTGTTTAGAAGAACACTGCCAATGCATTTAACATAAGTCTAGGTGGAGCCTCAAAGAAGTTGTAGATGGCCCTGAGTTCCTAAGAAGTAACAGTTTTTAAATCCACCTGTACTTGAGGATTAAAGACCAGTCTTGGTGCTTAAAGAAAACTCACCTTGTGAAACCACAGGATCTTTCCTACAAAGATAGTTGGCAGGTGATACTGCTGTTTGCCTGGGAAAAATCACACTAAGGCCACCACCCATCATGAAGTTCGCCAAGGAGCTCCAGTAAAAACAGCTGCCTTTTTTCTTCTCCTTACAGAAGACCAACTCCAAAATATTAACTCGGAACAATCAAGCCTAAGAAGTGGTTATCTACCACTTGGCTTTGAACATTTAAGTCAAATGTGCTGGACCAAAATCCCTGGAAATTCATCTTAAATCTTAATTTACACAATTCCCCTGCTTTAGCTCAGAAGAATTTGGCCTTACTCTTACCACCATTTATGCTAGTATCACTTTTTTATATAAAAATCAGTTCTTAATCTCTTTATCCTATTGGAAAGTGTACTGATAACCCAAGGCAGACTTTCAAAACATCTGACATGTGTAATAAGGTTTGAAGAACTCTCTTGTACCTTCGAAATGAGTATCATCTAGGTTCCAACACAGAAACTGCCCTTAAGCCAGCAAAAATACTTCAGACACACAATGGTGAAAAGACTCAATAGTTAAAACTTGCCACAATAACATACTCAGGGCTGTGAGTTTTTAGATGGAGGCCTAACACCAGTGATGTCAAAATGAAGGAAAACAGAAGCAAGTTCTTAACAATCAGCTTCTACAGCAGTCTAAGAAATGTAAATGAACACCACAAGCCCAGTTGGGGCTCACACCTCAGTTACAAGTATGGGTAGAGCTAGGGTTAAGTGGAGTTGGGAAGAATTTTGCCTATGTGGACACTTAATATATATCCGAAAACTTAGTGGTGGAGTACTAACAGATTTATCAAACACAGTTATGTATAATTTTCTCACAAAAGCTTATCATGTGTGTCTTTGACATGGCTTTAAAGATACCAGGGACATAATTTGCACAGGTAGGTTACTTCAACTTCTGACTGCACTTTGAGGAAGTGAACTCAAGTATCAAAATTTTACAATTTTGCTCATAAAATCACCCTCAGAAATACCTGGTCTGTCTACTTAAAATCTCCAAACGTTACTACTGTATGGAGTCTCATAACTTCGTAGAAACTGCCAATTTACAATGCTCCATATAATGTGTTTCCAAAACATGGGGATTAAGATCCCGATAAAATATAGGTTGAGCAACTCTTAACGTTCCACATCAACTTCCACTTGCATTTGGATGCATAAACCCAGAATGTTGCCTACTTTAAGGGAAGGGTTAAAACACGATTCTCATTCAAATATTGAACCGTGACCAGTAAACCCACTAAATCCTTTTATTGCAATTGGGAATGATCAAAGTCTCTCTCCTTGTTTACTCCCAATTATTAACTGTAAATCTCTGGGGGGAAAAGATCATGCTCTATCGCTGTCAAGCCCAAATGACTGCGTAAACATAAGCAATCCATTTCTCACCGCTCCTTCTCCAGAGCATCCCTTTACCACCTGACCTGTGTCACACTTAGCAAAACCTATAAAACGCAGTGGACACAAAGCCACGATTCTGAGTGCATCCCGTGGCAGAGGTAGGGAGAAAAGTTATAGTCGGGGGGGGGGGATAAAGGGGAGGCAGGCAGAGAAAGGAAACCTACAGCAAGACTAACGTCCAGTCACCATCTTCACTCAATAAGCCCACAAACCGCCCCCATTTGAAATGCCCATTTCCCGGGAAGCAGGTCCCGAGCCTGGGTGGAGCGCTCCTCCGAGACTCCCGACAAACAGCACCTTGAAAACTTTCCCATTCCTCACGCCGATGCAGAAGACCTCGGGGGAAACCGCCGGGAACCGCCATCTTACGAGCCATCCAATTTCACACAAGTGTCCCTCCAACTTAAGTTAATAACATCTTCGCGGGGGCGCCCCCCGGCCTAACACCCAC